CATGAAACTTTCACCAAACTTAGTGCATAAAACCATACTTCAAAGAACTGTTTATTTATTTATTTAATCTTTTGAGACAGAGTCTCAAGCTGTCACCCTGGGTAGAGTGCTATGACATCACAGCTCACAGCAACCTTAAACTCTTGGGATTAAGTGATTCTCTTGCCTTAGCCTCTCAAGTAGCTGGGACTACAGGTGCCCGCCACAATGCCTGGCTATTTTTTGCTTGTACTTGTCATTGTTGTTTGGCAGGCCCAGACCAGATTTGAACCTGCCAGCTCCGATATATGTGGCTGGTGCCCTAGCTGCTGAGCTACAGGTGCCAAGCCAGAACTGTTTTAAATATAATTACTCTGGCCAACAAAAGGTAAAGAACAAAGAAATAGCTAGTTCCTAGAAGGAAATAATTATATAAAATAAAGTTTTAGGAAAGAATAGAAGTGTTAGTGTAGACACAAAAGAGTAACTGGTGTTTAATAATGATTCTTTCTCTCTACAAAGCCCTGATTTTATTTAATACTGAATGAATATGCAGTTAAATAAGAAGCAACATGTTTCCAAATTTGGTAATAGATTTTACTTAAAATGGGCTATGGATATGTTTTTTACTTGCTTATAAATAACAAACCCTCCAGCAAGATTTATCAGAAAAAACATTGGTTTTGGAACTAGATACAATTCACAAGTTGTCCAATCAAGTTTTCTGACTCTTCACCAATTGATCAATAAAAGTCAGATAGAAATACCATACCACTTGGAAAATTATAAATTATCATATAAATTTAGCTGTCTGTTACATAGCATCTTGCTATGTTGCCCAGGCTGGTCTTGAACTCCTGAACTCAAGCATTTCTCCTGTCTCAGCCTCCCTAGTATCTGAGATTATAGGCATGTGCCTTCATGCCTAGCACCATACAAATTTGAAGGTAAAAAAAGGAAGACTACCATATTGTAGAAGAAACAAAGCCATATCCATGGTTCATACTCACATCTTTCTATACCCTGTCCCCAAAATGATTGTGTCTTTACAGCCTGGGATTTTCTATCACATCTGGCCATTTGTTTCAGGAAGGAAAATAAACATAGTAACTAAGCCAAATGCCAAATTAAATCTGCAGATAGATAAAGATATGACCTATTGCAATGCTTCTGTTTTTGAAGTATCAAATCCAGCATCATTTTCTGGCATAGTTAAAATGCTATGGGAAGTTTGTCTAAGACTAGAGGACATTGACCTTTGGGAGGTATTGAATGTTCTGGAAGAAAGCTCACTCCTCCTCAAAGGAATGAGGTGGAGTAGAAATACACCCATGAAGAGACAGTACACCTCCTAGGTGGGGAGAAGAAGATGACCATGCCCGAAAGTAAGTCAGTTCATTCTCAGATCAGATCTTGAATTCTACATAGGTTTTCAAGCTCAGTTGTTCCTCTCAGGAACATGTAGGCTGGTGACCTTGTGACTCAGATCTGGGTTAATGTTTATGTCATGCACAAAGAAATAACTTTGAGTAGTTTTTTTTTTAAATGGGGAGTTGCAAATACCTAATTTATAAATCCTATTAAATGTAAAAATCATTCCCTAGCAAGAAGTCTTCTCTGACTCCAGGATAGGTTAGAATTCCTGTCTTTTTCTTTTTTCTTTTCTTTTCTTTCTTTTTCTTTTTTCTTTCATTCATTCTTTCCTTTTTTTTTTTTTTTTGCAATAGAGTCTCATTCTATTGCTGTGGTGTCATAGCTCACAGCAACCTCAAACTCTTGGGCTCAAGCAATCCTTTAGCCTCAGCCTCCTGAATAGCTGGGACTACAGGAGCCTGCCAGGAGGCCTGGTTAGTTTTTTCTATTTTTAGTAGAGATGAGTCTTACTCTTGCTCAGGCTGGTCTCAAATTCTTTGGCTCAAGTGACCCACCTGGCTCAACCTCCCTGAGTCCTAGGATTATAGGCATGAGCCACTGTACCCTGCCAGAATCCCTGTATCTTGCCCTCAAAACATTTATCTCAATTAAAAACTAGCTTCCCACTTCCACATAAATACAAATTCTGGATCTTTGAGTGAGGAGGCAGGGAGTTTAGGCAGGATGAGTTATTTCCCTACCTTTCCTTACATGGCTGCGACAATACATCTTCATGAGGCACAAGATGAGGAAACCTCAGGTTGCTTTTTCAAGCCAAGGTCAAGTTCCCCATGACCAATGGACACTCCTCCTACAGACTGGCGATCTGTTGGCCTTAAGTTTCCATATTGTGGGCCAGATGTTTTGTCCTTCCTGGTGTTCTAGGGGGAAGCTTAGCAAGCCTGAGGTCACTCTGAAATCACTCTCTAGGTGAGTGGGTGAGGTCATAGACTGACCAGAGTTCAAATTGCTTACCTATCTGGGTCTGATTTCCATTATGGGCCAAATGCATATTTGAGTTCTATAATCTATGTCCTTCTACTCCCAGTACCTTGTGGTTCCAAACCTCAAATTCATTGTTTGAATTGTACTGACAGAATGTTTTGGCTCTTTTCTTTTTCTCTCCAAAACCAACTACTACTTTATTTGGTATAGAATTCCTCATAAAACCTAAAACTGTAATTCCACTCTTTTCTCTTGATAGGGTAAGTTTATATATGATCATTTCAAATAAGGCTTTAAAATTATAAATAAAGGGTCACAAATAACATTTGGGGATACAGAATAAGTCACAAAGCAGTAAATTGTCTGAAAAAAAATAATGAAATTCAGAAGTGAATTTTGTGGAATTACACAATCCTATTGCCTCAAAAATGTGTCTTTTTACCTGTGAGAACATGAAAGGGTACAAAGAATTGTAATAAATGCATGGCTTTAAATTATAACAAAACTTTTATCATAATTATTTAAAGAAAATGCATTAGATATGGGATTTTTAAATGTAACAAGCATCCTCCAAATTCACATGTAATAGAAAGTCTCCAGTATGTGCTTATGAATATTCTTTCTTATGTAAAATCATAATTCCCCTCAAGAAATAATGCCACTGTCACTAAAGGCCAGAGAGTGAAGTGACAGAAAGCTCTGTGGCTTGGATGCCACCATTTGCCATCAAAACCTACAAATTCTCTCTACCGCCCTCTGGAATGGATCAGCTCAGAGAATAAGGGAGCCTTCTTATTTCGAACTTTTTACTCTCTTTTCTCTTATTATAGGCATGTGCCATCATGCCCAGCATCATACAAACTTAAAGATGAAAAAAGGAAGAGTACTATATTGTAGAAGAAACAAAGCCATATCAGTGGTTCATACTCACATCTTTAATAAGAGAAAAGAGAATAAAAAGCTCAAAATAAGAAGGCTCACTCTCAAACACTTGTGGCTCCTGATTACCTGCAGAATAAACATGAGCTCCTCATGCAGATGCTTCAGGCTGCCACTGTCTGTGCCTAACTGACATTCCAGCCACACCCACACCACAGGGAGTCACTGCCAGATGGGACAAGAGAGAAAACTGGGAGCCAAATGAGTCAGAAACTCGGATCCAGAATGAGGTGGGAGCTATTATCCACCCTGACCGGAGTGACAGGATATACTTCACTTTTTTGTTTGCTTGTTTTTGGGTTGTCTTTTCTTTTTTTGATAGCTAATTTCTTTTTTTTCTTCATTTGAAAATATTAAGGGGTACAAATGATTTTATTACAGATTTTTGTAATACTTTTTGTCATGCTTAAGTCAGGGTTATTGGTGTGCCTATCACCTGAGTTAAGTAAGTGTTCATTGTACCTATTAGGTAGGTTTTTATCCCTACCCTTTCCTTGATTTTCAATGACTTTTACTTCCCTCTATGCTCCTGTGTGCTCATTGATTAGTTTCAAATTATTAGACAGTATATGTGGTGTTTATTTTTCCATTCCTGAGATACTTTACTTAGGATAATGGTCTTCGTTCCTTCCAAATTGCTACAAAAGACATTAACTCATTTTTTATGGCTGAGTAGTACCCCCGTGTGTGTGTGTGTGTATACACACATTTTCTTAATCCACTTATGAATTGATGGGACTGGGCTGAGTCCACATCTTTGCAATTGTGAATTGTGCTGCATGAACATTTAAATGCAGGCATCTTTTTGATAAAATGCTTCTTTTCCTTTGGGTAGATACTCAGTAGTGGGATTACTATTATTCTTACTCATTCTTCTCAAATGTGTCACATATATTAGTATACAGACCCTCATGCTGAGCGCATTCCCCAAACATCTGACCCATAATAAATCAATGCCCATTTCCAAGGTCCCCCCTGTGTAAAGCTTCCGTAGTTCCTCCAGCAAGATGTGACTCTTCCTTCCTGCTCCAATCTTATGAATGTCCAAAGTACTTGGTTTAAACCACAGTTACAGCTTTTGCATTTTCTCTCTTGTGTAAACTACCAAGCCAGATGACAAAATTATACGTGTTTTATTTGAGCCTCTGTGGATGCAGATTCCTTTGGTCATGGATTGCAATTTATTCAGCAATTCAGCCTCAGCTGTGAGGGAGGCCTGGAACCTCCATAATTCCACAGATACAGCCAGTTGCCTGCCAAGAACAGTTTTGCCAACAAGTGCAACTGTTCACATTCATCCACAATTCCAATGACAAAATGAGTGGGGGTATTCAGGCTTGGAAAAAGTTAAGAACATATGACTGATCTTCTCCACCCTAAACTGCTCTGGACATCAACACCTGCTGTTACTCTTAGAAAAGCTGCAGGATTTAGCATCTCCACCACTTGCTCTGGGACTTGCAATTGTATTGTCATCTTTGCTACCTTTACCTTTATTTATCACATTTAGTTCTTCCTCAATTAAAGGGGACTTCTTTGGGGATTGAGGGCTCATACATTTACTTGTGGACCCCATCTGTTTCCTCACCTCCTGACACTTGCTCAAAACACATCTGCAGATGGGTTCATTGCAAGGCTCTTCCCAGTCTTCTCCCAGCCTTCAATTGCAAATGAAATCCCAAAAGCCAAGGACTACAACTAACTTTCTACCTCTGTTATAACAGGATTTTGTGCCTCTGTATCAAGACTTTGAGAATTTTTATAAGCGAAACCTTTACATGCGAATCAGAGACAACTGGAACCGGCCCATCTGCAGTGCCCCAGGAGCTCGGTTTGATGTCATAGAGAGGGTGTCAGACGACTACAACTGGACATTTAGGTGAGGCACCCACCTGGAGGTGCTGGGTGGAAGGAAAATCCTTTCAAGGAAGTCCTAGTGTGGGCAACAGATTACAGACCTAGGGTGGGGAGAGAAGGCATGGAGGTGGTTAGCCTTGCATCACTCAGCTCTTGGCAAGCCCTCATAATCCCAGTGGAGGAAGTCATGGTAATTACCTTGCCAAGGTGGCTTGTTTATCTTATAATTAACACAGGACCTGGCTGGCTCTGTGTGTTCAACACCTGCTTTATTGACAAATTGTACCCTCCCACTTCTCAATGAAGGAGACAGTGGTGACCATGGCTTTTGTCCCTTTAGCAGGCTCTTGCTAGACTTTCAACCAGAACACAGGTGCCATGGCAATAAGTGCCTAGGCTAAATCAGGGCTAAGTTAACACCTCCATGTTTCAGGGTACCTTTCTCCAATGCTCTCCCAACTCCTTTATGGGGTTACCATCCTCTAAGGCCAAACCAATTTTTTTTTTGTTTTCTTAACAGCTTTTTTTGATACCTAATAGATATGTATAGTTTTGGAATACATGTGATCATTTATTTTTGAAATTTTAGAATTCATATGGGTGTACATGCGATTAGGTTACATAGTTTGTCTTTGTAGGGTTAAAGTTCTAGTTGTAGGTGTGTCCTTCACCCAGGAGGTGTGCAACATACTCATGAAATGTACCTATTCTCCTGCCACCCTCCTCCCTGCTTGAATTTCACTGAGTTTTTCTCTCATCTGAGCATGTAGATGTTAATCTACTCTTTCTAATTTAGTACTGAGCACATGGGATAATTTAATACATGCATAGAATTCATAATGATCAAATGAGTGTATTTGGGATGCTTATTACCTTAAATATTTATCTTTAAGGCAGAACCATTTGTATTCTTCTCTTCAAGATGTTTTAAAATATATACTAGATTGTTTTAAACTACACTCTACTGATCTATCTAGCACTAAGTTGAGTTTCTTCTATCAAACTGAATACATCTAACTGCTAATTAACTTTAATTAGCTTCTATTTATCTCCTCACCTCCACCCTTCCTGGACTCCAGTAACCATCAGTCTACTCTCCATCATCATGAAATCCATGTTTTTAGCTCTCAGATATATGTGAGAACATGCAGTATTTGCTTTTCTGTGCTTGGCTTATTTCACTTAACATGATGGCCTCCAGTTCTATTCATGTTACCACAAATGAAAAAATTTCTTTTTAAAAAAATGATGATGGTGATGCAAGTTAATAAGAAAGAAGAAATATATGATTTGGGCCAGACCCAAGGTCTCTTGGGCACTAGAATGCTATTAAATGAGGAAGCCTACTGTGCTCACTTACACATCCCCCCACAGGTTTACTGGAAGAATTATTGAAGATGTTATCAACATGGGCTCCTATAACTTCCTTGGCCTTGCAGCCAGGTATGATGAGTCTATGCGAACAGTAAAGGATGTGTTGGAGGCATATGGCCTTGGCGTGGCCAGCAGCAGTCAGGAAATGGGTATGTACATTCACTATTTTGAAATTCTGTCCCGTTAGGTCTCAGATTTCTGTGGCTTCCACTTTCATCTAGATCAGATGTAGAATGTGGGCCTCAAAAAGCAGTTATAAAATGGGAAAAATAAAGAAGATACTTGGGGAAATACCAAGCATTATGCTATTGGACACTTTATCAATTATGTATTTTAATTCTCCACAATAGATAAAACCAAATCCCTCTTGACCATAATATCTAAAGTAGCAACTATCGTACCTTGTCTGGCTGTTCCTTTTCTGTCCTTTTTCCCACCTTTCCTAATGATGCTTACCACTGACTAAAATGATCTTACTTTTGTAGTTATATTTGGCCTAACTCTGTTTCTAAAACATAAGCTCCATGAGGAGAGTGATTGGCCCTGGGGAATGCTGTGTCAAATAAATGAATGAATGATGAATGGATGGACAGGTGGAACAGACTGCCCATTTATTTCCCTTTCAGCTAAAACATTTCTCTTATTCAAAAAAGTGAAAATGTGAGAAGGAAACTTTTACTTCTCTTCACTTTCAGGAAGAAACCTTATTTTTATAAAGGGCTTTGTGGTTCCTGGAGTGTTGTTTTTTTAATATAGTATCCCATTTATTTTGAAAAAATAAATCCTGTGCTGTAGGCAGAACAGGTGTTGTTATTTCCATCATCTGAGGTAGAAACTGAGAATCATGGCACCTAAGTGATGTGCCCAAGATCCTAACTCCCAGTCTGGCTCAGCTTTCTCTACTATAGCAGTTCCCCATCTCAGTAACATATGTATGGTTCAGCAGGTCAGCCAAACCTGTCTAAGAATGAGAGGCAAACCTGACAAAAAGGTATTTACTACTAATGAATAATGAGCCACATGGCTCTCTTGGATCACCAGTTAGCAGAGGGCTTTACAAACAACTTAATTATACAGACCAGTGCCACAAATAACTCAAATGGAACAAATGTGGTAGGTTTTTCTTTTCTTTTCTCTCTTTTTTTTTTATTAAATCATAGCTGTGTACATTAATGCAATCATGGGAACACTGTGCTAGTTTTATACACAATCTGAAATGCTTTCATTGGTAGCTTTTTTATCCAAGCATTCAGTAAATATTTAGTTAAAGTTCCAGAATTAATATGGTTTCCCAAATTTCTTAAGAAAGACATGTTATATATCTTTATTTTGAGACATAAAGGCTGGAGTTGTAAACAAGATGTGAGGTAAAGGGAAGGTTTCACTACACTTAAAAGAGCTTGGTCATGCGCGATGCCCCATTTGGAGATGGGGCAGAGGCTGGAGGAATACCCCCAGCCACAGAGGCACACACTCAGTAATTGTTTGGGATACTTCTTGTGGTACTGGTGACATTCAATATCAGGTTTGTTAATAACCAGACATAAGACACATTCCTGTTGAAGATCCCCCCAAGAGGGACAGAATGTTCACATGTCATAGCTTGCAGAAGCTGAAGGGAGGCAGCTTGACACCGATGGTTTACCAACAGTGGAAGCCAGATATAGAACAGGAGTCATTGACTCTGTGGGTTCAACAAACCAGAGACACTAGGCAGACACGAAGTTCCCATTTGTTGCTACCCTCAGCCTAAATTCTTTCTATACCTCCTCATATTAATACGCATCTGCTTCTTTCAGTTCCCAGGTCATGTACTAAAAAGAGAATTTTAATAGTTTTCACGTAAATAGTGAGAGACACAAACAGAAGCTACTCACACTAATTTTAGGCAAATGAAGGGACTGAAATATGAAAATAAGCAATGAGTCAAGAAATTCATTTAAAAGGATATTTAAAGTGTTCTGCAATATTAATAATAATCTTAACATAACATGCAAGAATTACAAGTAGCGTAATTCCAAAAGCCACTTATTTTAAATAGCAAGTAACTTTGGGGAAAAATGTGCTTTATATAGTCTTCAGAAAATGTTCAACAGTAAAAATGGATTAACAATAAATTGGAAAGATAGAGGTATAACCATTATAACAATCAAAATAGCTTCATGAAAAACCAGAAGTAAAAGTTTAAGGACATTTAATCACTTAAAAGTAACTTCTCAGAACTTTAAAAAATATTTTTCAAAGTTCTTAGGAGGAAAAAGAAAATATAATTCATATACCAATGAAGAAAAATAAAAAGAAGAAGGAAATAAATAGGAATAATTTAAAACATAGAAAATGGTTAGAAGACTGTGCATATTATTCTAACAACAAATAAGGTAAACTAGAACAAATTTGTCTACTAAAAGAAAATGGCTGGGATTTGGCCAAAAAACCTAAACTCAAACTATGTGCTGTAATTATAATAAAACTTTATAAAACTCCTACTAAATTAAAGTATTCCAAAGGGTAAAAAGTAGAAAGGTAGATCCATCTGGGCACCTGGTTCCTACCACCATGCCCTCAGTGTCCAAGGGGGAAGTCGAGTCAGGGGCAGGAGGGGAAAAGGAAGAGCCCAAGAGGGAGTTTATTTGCCAAACTTGTACCTGCAAGTGTTAAAACTAAGCCCTCAAATACAGCTAGAATGGATGCATCTTCAGACAGATATGTACAGGTGTGCAAATGCTATTTTTAATGTGTGAAACGATAAACTACTAAAATTATTTTATGGTACAACTAATAAATAGTGAAATACAGACTTAAGGTAGGCTTTGAGTCTTTTGTGGTCAGTTTAACAATCCATGTGCTGATGACAGTGGGAAAGTGTCTAGTTTTTCTATCCTAAATGTGAGGCAGAGGAATACGGCAATTTAGAGTTGCAGTCAAGCGTTTAAAATGTCTGAAACATTTTAAGTTCATACCTTCTACTGAGGTTTTTTTGTTAGAATGTTCCTGAATTTTGGCTGTCCCTTTCGAATTGTGTGCTATATATGCAAGTTTGGTATTAGTGAAATCTAGACCTAACAACTCATCAAAGTTTTTTTCCCAGATTAACCTAAGGGTACATACAATTACGTTACATTGTTTCCATTTGTTAGGTCAAGTTCAAGTTGCCGTTGAGCCCTTCACCTAGAAGCTGTGCCATATACCCCTGCATTGTACCCAATAGACAAGAGCTTACCAAATCCCCTTCCTCCTCCTCCCTACCATCTTCTTGAATTAAAATTTTAAGAGACCAATACTCAGTATACTCTTTCCAAGGTGGTTTGCCTCCAAATTTTTAGCTAGAAAGTCAATAAAATAACTATTATCAAAAGTATTCTAAAACTACATGGATTTTTTCCATTTTCAGTACTAGGATTGAAAACTGTGTATAAATTTCTTATAATGTCTGAGTCTTGAACCTCAAACAATGATAAATAATATCTCCATTATGTGGGACATTTCCACACTTGATACTTGAATTCCTTTACCTGAAAAAAATTATTTATTTTTTTCTTTATATGGAAGCTATTTATTGGTTTAAAGTGAAAGACAGAAAACAACCACGCCTGAGGAAAAGGCAATGAATGCATAACTGCTTCTTATCCTTTCATATGAATTCAGCTTCAAATAAAGAATAAACTGGAACTTCAAAAATAAAGAAATGAATAGCCAAATGCAAAGATGAACAAATGAGAAAGCAGAAGTTAGGCTTAAGTTATGAATCCTTAAACAGAATAAGAGATTCATGCTATAAAAACTGTGTGAAGAGCCCACGATAAACACAGATACAACTACATCCTCTACGCATCAGATAACAAAGCAGAGACCTACGGAGCTAGGGGATGTTTTGTTGTGTGTGCAACTAAAAATGAGTGAAGCAATGAATTTTAAGAGACATATTGGGAGTCAATGTATATTCTATGGAAACAAATACAAGAAAAATTAAAAAAAATAGCAATAGGAGACTATAAATTACAGGTCAGTTCTTGAAACAAAGAGGCCAAAATAAAGACATGGAAGACATTAATGATATATTTGTTAATGATTAATAGTTAATGTAATAGTAATATTTTACACTGAACCTTAAAACATGTTATCAGCATATTTCATCTTTTTAAATAGTCATTGAATTTTTATAAGACTTTATTATATGTTATGCCACAAAGAAAAACCTCATTAAATTCCAAAAAGTGGAAAAAGTGAGCTCTGTATAGGTGAAATAAAGTTAAAAATAATAACAAAATCAGAAACAAGCCCTTTTTAAAAAAATATCACTAAAAAGTTTAAAATCTCTGTCTTAAATGACTCTTGAATCAATGGGGAAATGAAATTACAATTGCATCATACTTAGAAACTAACAATTATGAGACTACCATGGAATGCAGGTAGTTGTATACTCAGAGGAACATGTATAGTCTTACTTTACTAAATGGTAAAATCTAGTAAACTGGGCAACCAGCACAATAAAAGAGAAACAAGAGTATTGAATTATTAAAGTTAAAAACAAAAACTTACAAACTCAAAGGGTAATTTTTATTGAGCTGAGACATCTTTATTTTTATTAAGTCATTAGAGTCCTTCTGATAAGCAGTCACAGTTGATAACCACTGAGCTAGCATAGTCCCCAATTTGGATAAAGGGAAAACTGTAAATTGATATTACAAAAAATATTATATTAAAAATTGGCATTAGGAATCTCACAGTATATTCAAATAACAGAGTACCATAATCAAATAATTGTATTCATGAACCAAAATGATAGTTCAATAATGACATAATTTATGATATTGAAATGTCCAAGAAATAAACATATAATTATCTTGATAGATGCTGCTAAACATTTATAAAATTTATTATCCAGTCTTTATAAAACTTTTTCTAGAATATAAACAAGAGAGCCTTTAAACAAAAAGATTGTACTATGCTTCTTGGTTTAAACACTAGAAACATTTATTTTAAAGTCAGGAAAAAGGTGAAAATGCCTGTTCTTACTATCATTCTTAATAACCTCTGAAAATACTAAACAATTTAATTAATTCAGATTAATTCAATGAATATGTATTGAATGACTCTTGTGTTTCAGAATAAAAAGTGTACGTATGAGAAATAAGGGGGTAAAATAGAC